AACTTTCTTGACATTCAAAAAGAGACGTAGAGCAAAGAGTTGGCCCATCAGGGGTTGGTGATAACATGGCTTGTGGTTTTGTGGTTTTGTGGTACTATGACCCACTGACATGTGACCTGAAAATGCTAGCTTGGAGCAGGGCCCAGAAAAGAAAAGTTCTCTGACCCTACACTATGGCCTCATGGGAAGGTCTCTGTGATCTCTTGAATGGAAAAGAAACGCATCATGCCTCATTTTCATTTGTTACTTCCCTATATACAGGCATTTTGCCCATATCAGTTTTCTAAAGCTGCATATTAAATTAGCTGATAATTAGCAGTGTGAAATGATACAAATGTCTTCTCAAGCAATTTCATCATTCAGAATTCCACGCAGGTACTATAAATTTCTGTGCTCAGAGTCTCAAGGAATTGAGGTCAAGTTGTTGACCATGATGGGTCATTAACTGGAAACTCAAGAGAGAAAAACTGCTGCCACGCCCTTTCAGGTTTTTGTCAAGTCTAGTTTCTTCAGTTTGTAGGAATGGGGTCCCCATTTCCTTTCTGTCTCTCAGTTGAGGCCACTCTGAGCATCCAGGACCACCCCCATAGCTCCTTAGGGGCACCCCTCCTTCCTCCAAGTAGTAATGGTGCATCATGGTCATGGAGGCAGGGATGAATGTCATGCATGACCCATGAACATGAACACCCACTCACCAAGGCTGGTCGTGGTACAGATGCTGCTGACTGCTCCTTGCATCAGGTACACAAACCAACACCGAGCACCCCATATGGCGTCATTCCCCCAAGTGGTCAATCAGCTACCAGGTGGCAGGTTGATATTTTGGTCTCTTTCCTCAGGGAAATGTAGCCCTTTGTACATGAATTCACCTTTGTTCTACATATGGATCTTCTCCTCCTAGATTTTTGAGAAAACTGACATTCATAGATTTAGAAAATGCCTTATCTGCTGTCATGGATTTCCACACAGCATCATTAAGGACAAGGATATTGCTTCATGGGGCACATGCTGATGGAATTCACTAGAGATTTATGATCTGCCTGATCATCCTGAAGGGGCAGTTTCAACAAGAAAAATTATATAATGATATTTTATAGCCACGATTTTGGTTCTATGTTGGAAACAGTACCTTGAGGGGCTGGGACAATAGAATTTAGAGGGTGTCATGCTCTCCCTCATTTGCCAAGAGAGAGAGCTGTCTCTCCCATAGCTGCGATTCACATCTTCATTACTGAAGGGATGGCGATGTGAGGGGCTCTTCTCACTATTGCTCCTTTGTATTCAGTAGTTAAATTTTGCTACCTGTCCCCAGAGCTTTAGGCTTCCCCATGCTGGAGGGCTTTTTGCAAAGGAGGAATGTTTTCCACAAGCGCCCCAACAATGACCCCACTGAAATGGAAATAGACACTGCCCAGCAGTCAGTTTGGATGCTCATCTTCCTCAACCGTCAGGCAGAATGTGGGGAGATGGAACCCGATTAAGGACACTGGCTTCCAGCTGCATGAGACACTGAGGAGGGAGATGTCCACGATGTTTGGGTGTCTCCCTGCGCTCGCACGTTGGTGATTCAAGTCAAAGGAAATTATAACAACTCAGTTCAGGCAGGACATGTACTGGTCGGTTCTGTCTGTAATTGAGGTGTGAATCATCCCTCAAGTGCAGTCAGAGGACAGGGTGACCGACTATTTCAGGCCAAACAAAGATGAAATGGCTAGTAGAGAAGACAGTTCTGAATGTCAGCTACAGGCCTGGGACCCGCTGAGGAACTAGGATGGAATATAAACTGATGGCCTAAGGGGGTTCCCCCCTTCAGGGGGAAAACGAACACACACACACTCACACACACACAACAAACTGGTCATTGAAACAAAATACTTAGTGCAAATGCTCAGCTTTTTTTTTTAATTTTTAATGTTTTATTTATTTCTGAGAGAGAGAGAGAGAGAGAGAGAGAGAGAGACAGCGAGAGCAGGGGAAGGTCAGAGAGGGAGATACAGAATCTGAAGCAGGCTCCAGGCTCTGAGCTAGCTGTCAACAGAGCCCGATGCGGTGCTTGAACCCACCAACCGCGAGATCACGACTTGAGCCGAGGTCGGACGCTTAACCAACAGAGCCACCCAGGCACCCCAACTTACAGAAACTCATTACATTAAAGTTCTAACTGTGTTTCTTGACCTCAAGAAAACAATTTTCTTAAAAAACGCATGTGAGGAGGCATCAACAACATGGGGTTCTATTCTCAGGCAGCCAATTGCTCCTGGTTTCTCAATGATCATTTCATTAATGGGATTATCAATTTGAGTTGGGATTATCTTCATTGAGAAGGTGGCCAGATTCTAGTTTTTCTAGTACCTTCTTAAGGTGGCTTATTAAGTCCTGTCTTTTAAATCTGAAAATAAAGAAACAAGATATTAACCAAAAGATATCCAAGAACCCATAATTTGGGAGGCTTTGGGGAGACAGAAAGAGAAGCTTGCAATCTACATGGGAATAGAAAATGGACCCACTTTGTAAGGGGTTCAGCAAATTCAAGGAGTGTCAGTTCAAGGTCCGTGTCCACCTCAAAGTGTGGTGTGAACAAAAGTCTCCCTGAGCATGGAAGAATGAGTGAGGCTCAGAGAATATCAATCTAAGAACTCCAGAGATAGTATGAACTCTGAGTGAGGACCAGGGTTTGAGAAACACATGGCAGTCACGTCCCCCCACCCCTAACACAGCACTGGGCCCCGCTGTGAAATGTACTAAAGAGTTTCTCACACTCACCTCGCTGCTTCCTTCATGGCATATAAAATCATTCTTTTCTGCACTTCTGGAGGCCCTTGCACTCCTTCAAGCAATTTGTAGACTCTATCATATTCTGGAGATATTAAAAAAATATTAGTATTTCTGAAGTATAAGGAGGATATAAGTCAATCTTGGTGTATCTGATGCCTCAGCAATCATTCAGCCCTACAATGTGACAGAGGACATGTGCCTTACATGCTCATATCCAGACACCCAGACATCTACCAGTGGAAGGTGGACACCCAACAACCAGTGGAGAAATACAAAAGAACACCCCCGCCCCCCAAAAAAGGTGTCCTGGGATATTTCAGTAAAAATAAAGAGGAACAATTCCAACAGGGAAAACCCAATTCTGGCAAAGGATGAGCCTCAAGGGGACTGTGGAATATCGTTCAAATCATAGAATGAGAAAGACTTAGGGTGGTTTGTTTCATGGATAGAAATTCTCGTTCTACTTACTTTGTCCAAACTGTCGAATCTCCCTCTTTAACTGATCTCTTATTTCGATATTGATTTCCATCGGTATGGGCCGGTTATCTGGCACTTCTCCCAGCACAGACATCGCTGTGACCTTGGGGTTATCTGTAGAGACAGAGCTGGTAATGACTCCTGCCACCAACGCATTCCTACCAGGTTTGTGACTCCGCCCACCTTTGCTGAGACTGGTTAGGTCATGAGACAAAGAATCCAATTGGTTGGTGTGGAGTACCATCTCCTGCCACAGTCACAGGCTCTGGGGGGACGGATTTTGACCAGAAGCCCTCAGTGTGGATCGGCCACTTTCCCTCACCTCCCCGTGGATACTGTGAGCGACAGGTGCATCTGGAAACCAAATGTAATGTGGGGCTGCGATGACAGGCAGGTCCACAACCCCGCACGGACATGCACGTGCTCCGCAGTCTCTATCGTTTTTATGACCTATCAGAAGGATGCACCTGATACATGAATGGGACCTGAGAACTTGACCTCGGGAAAACTAACACTACAGAGAAGCCTCCTATAATCTTGGCACGATGCATACATACAGAAACACACCTGGACGGTTTGTTTAATAATGAATTGACCAAACATTCACAGAGCCCTGGCGCTCATCATTTCATGTCTCCTTGACGCCCTCTGCAAGCTGAAAGGCTGAATGCGTCACTCGCGGCAGCGGGCCTGACACCGGCACCGCACCTCTACCACTCCCAGTCAGTACCGGGCCTGCTCATCAGTCTTTTCTGTCTCTGACATGAGTGTTTCTGTCCTCCACGTCTGACCCCTCTACTTCATTCCCTCATGCTCCGCTGTGCCAGGCACCATGCCAACCTAGCGATCAGGAGTGAACACAGCAGGAAGGATTCCTGTCCTCGTGGAATGAATAGCCTCCAGGGAAAGCTGGGTGGTACATGTAAAACAGGCAAAGGGGACAATACATTTGAACTTGCGCTAGGAAGCACGATATCAGGGTGGTGGCAGACAGCAGGAGGAGTCGGGAAGGGACCCTCAGGAGGTGATCCCTGGAGCAGGATTTGGGGGACCGTGTGCACGTGAGGAGGAGGACTTCCGGCTGCCGTGAGGGCCAGTGCAGGGCCCCTAGGAGGGGACGAGCCGGGGCCATGGAGAAAGGACAGAGGCAGAGAGAGCAAGGAGGACCCCCCCTCCCAGAGGACACGCGCAGGAGAGGATGGCAGGACCGGGTCCTGCGGAGCGCGTAGACCAGCGTCGGGAGCTCCGATTCTGTTCTGAGCGCTCGGGGGAGTGGATGGCGGGCTTCAGGGTGGACGTGGCATGAAGGGATTTCCGTGCGCACAGGGTCACTCTGGCTGCGGGGCGGTGATGGGTCAGGAGCGTCACGTGGGAGGGCAGGCTGTGAGCTCAGAAGCTAGTGCAGCGAGCGGCCTGCTGAGTGAGGAGGTGTGCGGCATGAGGGACATCCCGATGGTGGGACCCAGGAAGGAGTAGTGTATTAAGAGGAGACACAGAAGGCAGAGCAAAGAATGAAAGCAAAGGAATATTCAGTAAGGAGAAGGAAACCAGTAGAGTGCGGAGTTTGGGAATCCGGGAAGGTTTCCATGACGGAGTGAACACCTGTACCCAGTGTGGCTGAGAAAATAAGGGCAGCGTCACCCAAAGATGGTGCCCTTCAGGGGAACTGCTCCAGTGGCGGAGAGCAGCCAGGGGGCTAGGTGGTAATGGCGCAAGGGAGGAAGGGAAGTGGGGACAGGCATCCTCACCACCTTCCAAGGTCACAGCTGTGTCCCCGGCTGGGGATATTCCCTCTTCTTCTAGTATCACTGGCAGCATCGTCAAGGTCAGCCTTCTCTTACACAGAGGAGGACTAATGGGTACTTCACGACGTTTCATTTTCTTCTTGGGAGTGGCAGGAAACACCTCTTGTTTACTGGCCATTATTTCCTGAGAAGCATCAAGAAACACCGTCCTTTAATGACCAAAATACAACCATTCCAAACAGTATGGAGGTGTCTCAAAAAGGTAAAAATAGAACTTCCCTACCAGCCAGCAATTGCAGTGCTAGGGATTTACCCAAAGGATACAAAACTACTGATTCCAAGGGCCACAGGCACCCCAAAACCTATAGCAGAATTATCAACAACAGCCAAATTACGGGAAGATCCGAATGTCCATGCACTGATGGGTACATAAAGAAGAGGTGGGATATACGTACAATGAAATATTCCTCAGCCATCAAAAAGAAGGAACTCTTGCCATTCGCAGCGACCTGGATGGACTAGAGTGTATTATTCTATGGGAAATAAGTTGGTTAGAGACAGACAGATAGCAGGCAATTTCACTCATGTGTGGAATTTAAGAAACAAATCAGAAGAACATGGGGAATGGGGGCAAACCAGAAAAAGACCCTAACCATAGCGAACAAACTCAAGGTTGCTGGAGGGGAGGCGGGCAGAGAGATGGGTTAGATGGGAGATTGGGATTGAGAAGGGCACCTGTTGTGATGAGCACCGGGTGTTCTATGTAAGTGATGGATCACTAAATTCTACACGTGAAACAAGTATTTCACTGTACAGATTTCACTTTAAATACTGAGCTACAATTGCATTTGAACCTGAAACGTTGAAGTTCAGGCCTGCACTAACGTGACCACGTGAGGCTTGAGCAGCACGGCAGCCCAGTGAGTCCCCACAGATGACGCACCCCAAGCGGCCCCCCTCGAGTTTCTCAGGGTTCCCGCCTGGCATCCTTCATGGTGTCTGCCCGCAGGAGTGCAGAAAGGAGCCCTTCTGCCTCGCGGGGCGGCCCTGCAGTGTCTGACTTGTCAGAGCAGAGGGGGGCCCCCTGGGGGAATGCAGCAAACAGAATTTCTTCACACTAAGCACAAACTGCAGCAAGAGCGTCGCCTTTGATGAGAGGGCTCCAGCTTCTGTAATGCTGGACGTGAAAAGTGCTTGTTACCAAGTGGTACAATTTCGGGTGGTTTCCACATGTACTTTGTGCTTTCCTTTTGACTTGCCATTGTGGACACTGTTTGGCAAAGGTGGTGTTCAAGCACAGGAGCACGAGACTCCCCCCGTTTTGGCTAACAGGAGACAAGAAGCCAACGGCTACATGCCGATTCGCATCACGCCAATGCCAAACCCTATATTAATCATATGACCAAGGGCCTGGCCTCTTCCCCAGGTTCTCCTCTGCTTTCTGGAAGCCACGTTCATCCCAGTTCTGGCTCCTCCTCATGATCGCAAGGTGGCTGCCAGGGCTCCGCAGTTACATGCTACTTAAGTCCCGTGTTCTGGGACAACGGGGTGGCATCTTGCCTGGCGTTCCCAGGAGGGGTGCTAGGCGTTGCCTGATGGAATCCTTTCGTGCCCAAGTCCACCCGCACCGTTTATTTCTCTGGAAGGGGCCTCGATCAGAATGTGCCGATTTGCTCAGCTCAGGCCTCACACAGCAAATGTATAGATTGAAACATACTGTGAGTCTTGATCATGGCCTCACATGGAAGCCTGTATTCAATAATCAGAATATCATTTCTCTCAAGCAAGCAAAATTGCCAACAGAGTCCATAAAACCCAAATCCTTAGTTTCACGCAGGCTATGTTCTCTAAAGAGAATGCAATTAAATTACTACTTCTTAAGAACAAGGAAAGCCACTCTAAAATTTTACATGTTTCTAAATAAATACTTTCTATTGAACTCTAGAAAAACATCTCAGGAGAAAATCTGTGGGACACACTTCATTGGGAATACAGAGAAAACCTAGACCTTCAAATGCCTCTATTTGAAAAGAAAAATGCCTGAAAATTAATGAGGTCTGTGAGTGTAGGAAGTTGCAAAAAGACTACAATAAATTCCAGGGAAGTAGAACCAGACTGATGCTGTGCTCTGAATGCTTGTGTCCCTACACAACTCACAAGTTGAAATCCAACGCCCCAAAGATGATGGTGTTAGGTGGTATTAGAGTCTTTGGGAGGAGGCTCCTCAGTCATGAAGGTGGCACCATCCAGAATGGGCTTAGAGGCTTCATACAAGAGGCTCCAGACAGAGCCCACACCCTCCCACCCTTGAGGACAGAGCGAGAACACCTGGCTACCAAGCAGGCAGTGGACCTTCACTAGAGTGCCACCGTGCCAGCACCTTGACCCTGGACTTCCCGGCCCCACAGTCGCGGAAATACATTTCTGGCGATGTCAGCTCCCCAGCTTGTGGCCATTTCCCATGGCAGCCGGAACGGACGGACACAGTACTCAAAGTCGAGCAAAAGTTAAGGAAATGGAAAAAGAAAATGACAGTGAAGATGTTCAAAAGGGGCACCTGGGTGGCTCAGTTGGTTAGGCATCTGACTCTTCGTTTCAGCTCAGGTTATGATCTCAAGGTTCTCGGGTTCGAGCCCCCCATCTGTGCTGACAGCCCAGAGCCTGCTTGGGATTCTGTCCCCCTCTCTCTGTGTCCCTCCCCTGCTGGCTCTTTATCTCTCTCTCGCGCTCTCAAAAATACATAAATACACATTAAAAAAACATTTTTTAAAGATGCTCAACAAAAGGAGAAGGTGGTCATTGACACTAATAACCACACACACTAACCTGAGCATGATTATCAAGGACAATTTTTTCGCAGATAAACAACACTAGCAATGCAGAAGGAGACCAAGCCCTGCATCCAGAAGAGAGTTCTATGAAAGACAGAACAATAACAATAACTGTATATCAAAGCTGAAAACTGACATGAAATGGACACTTTTATAGACCAATGAAACAGACCAGAACGTACCACGAAGAAACAGAAAATCGGAACGCTGCTGGATATGGTAAAAACTTGTCGTACCTAATGAAGGACCTTCCCATCCTGAAGGATTTCCTGGGAGTCCTTCAGATATCCCGGAGGGAAATAATAATACCAGTCTTAACCAAACCCTTTCTGAAAAGAGAAGAAAGCTCATGTGTTACCAACTCATTTCATGACAAAATCGCCGGAAGAAAGGAAACCGAGAGACCCAGACCTCTCACCTGGCTATAGACACACAGCAAATTAAATTAAACAATACTTTAAAATAACAAACATCATATGGTGTTTGTATATATTGCCTGCCGACAAGAGTGGTTTCCTCCTTGAAAAGCAATGAATGCAGTATACAACGTGAAGAGCAAAAACCAGGATAAAGTCCCAGGATTTTGAAATAAATGGCTTAAAGTCAGATACCTGTTCATGGTAAAGTTCATCAACAAGCTGGGATGAAAGGCAACTTATCTAACCTAGAAAAGAGTGTTGCCAAAAAAAAAAAAAAAAAACAAAAAAAAAACAAAACCAAAAAAACCAACCCATATACAAGTGTTATATTTAATGTGAAATATCCTACCCTTGTTTTCTTGAGTTTTAAATATAATGACATGAGTGTCTACCGTGTAATCAAGAACATTTGGTTGAACTAAAACCTAGAGGAAAATAAAAGAAGTGTAAATTTTGGGGGGCACCTGGTTGGCTCAGTTGGTTAAGCTTCCGATTTCATCTCTGGTCATGATCTCATAGTTTATGGGTTCTGGCCCTGCTTTAGGCTCTGTTCTGACAGGTCAGAGACTGGAGCCCCCTTCTGTGTCCCTCACTCTCTGCCTTCCCCCACTTGAGCTCTCTCAAAAAGAAAAATAAAACATTTTAATACATGCAGAAAAAGAAGTATAAATTTTACAAAGGAAGAAAGGACATTGTCCCTGTTCCCAAATGCTCAAGTCAGAGCAGAGAGGGAGACACAGAATCCGAAGCAGGCTCCAGGCTCCCAGCTGTCAGCACACAGCCCAACACGGGGCTCGAATCCACGAACCGTGAGATCATGACGTGAGCTGAAGTCAGACGCTTAACCGACTGAGCCACCCAGGTGCCCCTCAGTTGAGCATTTTTGTACACAGAATATCAAAAAGGACGTAAAATTTTAGAATTGATAAGTGAACAACAGCGAGATACTGGATGGAGGAGCAAGAATCTCAAACAACATGTATTACTGTGTAATAACAAATCAATAGAAAAAATATTTAAACTGCCATTGCAAACAGTGTCATCACCATCAATACCCAGGGAGTAAACCTAACGACGGGTGTGCTGAAGCACTACACGTAACACATCACAGCTCGCTGAGAGATGATAAAGGGCTCGGGAAACGGAGAGAAATACATTTTTTGTGTGGATTGCAAGACTCATTGTTAAATCATTATGGTCATTTCTGCTAGGAGTAACTATTGCAATCATATTTAAAATGGAAATATTTTTTATATAAATATTTTTTATTTATTTCAAGGGTAGAGAGAGAGAGACAGCATGAGCAGGGGAGGGTCAGAGAGAGAGGGAGATACAGACTCTGAAATAGGCTCCAGGCTCTGAGCTGGCAGTCAGCATATAGCTCGACTCGGGGCTCGAACACATGAACCTCGAGATCATGACCAGAGCGAAAGTCGGACACTTAACCGACTAAGCCACCCAGGCCCCCCAAAAAATGGAAATATTTTTTATTTAAAATATAGAAGTTTAAAATCCACCCTGATATATTTGGGGGAAATTTGCGAGCTGATAGAAAACAGTAGAAGAGCTGAGATGAGCTTTCAGAAAAAGAACAAAGTTGGAAGACGTGCGATGCCAGCCAGCGGACTTACTGCAAAGGATAGCAATGACAACCATGTGGGCTGGAGCGAGGGAGGCCGGATCCTCCCGTGCAGGATGATAGAGAGTCTAGAAATCAGTCTGGAAATAGCACCTGCTAGCTGGCTGACACTGAAGTCCCCAAGCCACTGTGGTCCCTTAAGTGAGTCCACCTGGTCCCTAAGGGGAAATGTGCCTCTTCTCTGACCTCACTGTCATCCGCACTACATTGATTTCAGATGAATAGGAGACTGGAGCAAAACTTAGGATATGACCTTCACGGTTTTACAGTCGGCAAAGGTTTGGAGAAAAAAAAAAAAAAAAGCACTGACCATAAAGAATAGATTGTTCAATTACACTTAATTGAACTGAGAATATTTATTCATCAAAAAGAGAATGACAAAGCAAAACAAATCTGCAGCAGTTACTCAGAATTATATTTTTAAATATCTACAGAAATACAAATATGTGTAGGACTATGAATCATTTTAACTATTAATCATTTTAATGTGTAGAATTATATTTTTAAATATCTACAGAAATACAAATATGTGTAGGACTATGAATCATTTTAACAAAGTACAACAATCTCAATAAAATATAGGTAAGGCACTTCATAAAACACATACATGAATGGCCAATAAACCTCATTGGTGAGCACAAAATGCATATTTAGACATAAGGAGAGGCCCCTGCACACCCAGCAGGGTGGCTGAGCCTGAAGACTGTGTATACAGCAAGCGTTTGTGAGGATATAACACAACCAACTCTCTCTCATACACTGCCAGTCCGGTCCCCACCTTGAGTCCCAAGGTGATAGTTAAAAGGATAGATAGACCTCCCCCAACACTGAGATCCAGAAATCAAGGAAAATTACTGCACCGCAGGCTGGAACAGAGCACCCAACTCAGAACGACTCCCCCCAAAGTGCATTAGCGCACCCAAGTCTGACCTCCCCCAAAGGCTGAGACAGTGCACACCAAGGACAATCCCCCTCTAAGGCAGAGACAGAGCCCCAGCCTGCTCCCCAGCCATGGCGGAGACAGTAGCCACGGAACAGCCCCCCCGCCCCCACCCCCGCCACACAAGGGAGATGCAGTGCCCAAGGACACCTCCTTCCCTAGGGCGGAGGCAGAGCTCTGCAGGCGGACTCCCCCTTCTGTGCACGGATGGACCTTTCAGACACCAGTCTCAGCTCCCCAGAGCTCAGAGGGAGCACCAACAAAGAGCCCAAGCGCCCGGCGCTGAGAAAGCCCCCAAAACCCAGTTCTCCCTCCCCTCCACGGCAATTTCTCACCCCATGGCAAGTTCCCACCCCCCTCGGCACGTTCCCTCCCCCATGGCAAGTTCTCCCCCGACGGCAAGTTCTCCCCCCACGGCTCAGACAGAGCCCCGAAGGCAGTTTCACTCCAGTCTCAGAACACGCAAGGAACAGCGTCCCCGCACGTTGTGACACAGCGCCCATGAAAGTCTCCCCAGGACGAAGGGTCCCCACCAGCACCGGCCCCACACAAGAAAATCCCACCCCCATCAGGGCTGAGACAGGGCAGCCAGGCAAAGTGCCCCCTCGGGCTGAGCTAAGCACCAAGGAGAGTCTCACGGGCTGAGGGAGAAGCCCTCAGGGACACTTACCTGGGGGCTGAGGCCATGTGCCGGAGGAAACGTTCCCGCCCTCACACAGCTTGGATGGGTTTCCAGGAAACACCCCCCACCCCCGACTTTCGACTGAGATAAGCACCCAGAGAAGAGCCCCCTCACCAGCACTGAGACAATTCCACGAGGAAAGGCCCTCACAGAACTCTGTCTCTCTGACCACCAACGACGGCCCCCCTCTCCAAAATGGTGGAAACAAGCTGCCCACGGAAACGCCTCCCTCGTGCCGAGATCAGAGCCCCAGGAAATATTTCCACAGAGTTGAGGTAGATCTCCCAGGAAGATAGCACACCTAAGGGAGACACACCTCCTGTGTTCAGAGAGAGCACCCATGGAAAAGAATCCACCCTCCAAGTGTTAAAATTCTGACCTTGTTCCAGGAGCCCCGCAGCAACTCACAAAATGGGGGTAAAGCTCGGACGCCTCTGCCTTAGAACCCTCTAGAAACATGCCCTCTGGGAGTTACCGGAAATACATCCCCTGAGGCGTCTGTGAGCAGTGTGCAAAGGGACGTATCTGGCCAGGGGACTGATACATTAGTACTTCCCCTGGGAGGCATAAGGGACGCGGCGGACCCCATGGTGCAGACGGCACACTGTCCTGCAGCAGCCCCGCCCCGCCCCGCCCCGCCCC